TTTTGTGCCTTAGACCCTCTTGTAACAATTTTGTTTACAGTATTCCACCAACCCTTCGTCCCAGTTCCATGTTTGCTGTTTACATTGCGTACAGCCCGCACTTGGTTGTTGAGGATAAGCTCATAGATCCTTGCTTGTAGGTCAGCATTCTTATTCCTGATGGTACACAGGTGTTTAACTATTGGCGACATACAAGGGGGGTCCCATGAAGACACCTTAACCTTGATCAGGGGGAGGCATTCATTGGATATCCCTACAAGGGTGTCATTTAATAAATGGGTCGCCTCGGTGATATCGTCACACGACAATACATTGCTCCAAAAGGGCATGCTTCCAGTCTTTGCAGCATACATAACCTGAGCCCGCGATATAGTCACGTGATACTGGTCAGTGGATGCCTTGTTTTGATAGCTGTCAATTAACTATAACATAAATGTCCAATATCAAAGACGTACCTATGGTAACGGAGTTACTCTCTTAATTTTCAAGGTATTGGGCTTGGCGTGTGGACGTACGGACTTATTGACGTACGAACGGACGTATGTACGGACAGTCACGTGACAACCACATTTTTTAAGAGCGTTGGGTTACCAAATTTTCTAAGGTGTGGGGCTCAGCTGGTGCACCTTCGGCGCGCAGGGGCTCCGTTATTATGAGTAAAACTAAAAAGCAAGCAAGGAAGATGTAGACAGGTTATAAACGACGATCTTCGAAAAATATCGATCGAAAGACATTTACGTGTAATAATTCTAGATGTGTCGTGCATTGACGTAGTCCCCTTTCCAGTCCGAGCGCTCGTGAACGACTAAACTCAGTAGTAAATGTTTACAACAGATCTCATAGAACTGCTCGGGATTGAGGAACCTTCTAAAGGTGAAATGGCAGCTTGACTATGGACTGGGCGTAATTTTTCATATAATTTTGCTAAATACGCATCACTAAAACCGTATTTGCAAACCTACAAGACGAGGTAATAAAGCCGATATAGATCTCGCTTGAAATTAAACAAAATATATTACCATACCTCAAGAATGTAAGTGCTGTGCCGCCCTGATGTCAATATCTGGGGACACATAATTATTTGCAATTATACCGATCTTGTTTCACTTACTTGTCGCTCTATCACCATCATTTCAAAAGCAAAACAACAACCAATTGTCAAAGAGACTCTAAGAATTTCTCTTGAGTCAGTTTCAGTTTCTCTTAAGTAAATTCTTCACAGCTCGGCGTATTTCTCCTATTCGCATGCAATATACAAGGGGATTTAAGAAGGAGTTAATAAAAACGGCAGTTGCTGCGTAGTCATAAGCCACATTAACTCTTAACGTGTATCCAGTTAATGTTTCTACGACCATTGTAGCACACAACGGTAGATAGAATATGACGAACAAACCATAAACGTAAAGAACAGTCACAGCTGATTTTCTACATTTGAGCACATCTACAGTGTTACTTTGAACATTCTGATGCTGCTGAGATATCTGGCGCTGATGTCTGCGAACGATTTGAAAGATTTTTAAGGTGCTCATGAGTGTGACAAGAAAACTTGTAGCGACGATCGCCACCGGAAAAATAAGCCACTGGCGAATCTAAAATCTTAGCATGACGACTGTCACACATAACATCCATACAACAAAAACAGTTTGCAATATTCTTTTAACGGTTACAATGGTGTTGTATCGCAAATGAAGGGTTAAAACGAGAAGTCGATCAATAGAGACTGCACTTAAAATTGAAAAAGATGAGCCAGTTGTTGTCCAGCCAGATATGCTCTGAATCACTCTTAAGATACAATAGGCGCCAAAGTTTTCTGTAAGTTCAGTTATCTTATGAGCCACGTAAAATGGCTGACAGACTAGTCCAACGAGGAGATCCGAGGCTGCAAGGCAAAATAAAAGGGTGAAAGATGGCGTATGAAGTTCTTGTTTTCTCCAGACAACTTGCAATATAACTAAATTTCCAATAGCCGTTATCAAAGAAAACACAGCATTAAGAATACATGTTACAACAGTTGCGATAAAGGTATCGTTGGTTTGTTCCAAGCGTAGGTCCAGATAGAAGCAGTTGGGAAGACTTAAGTTGGTTCTGTTAATTTCTAACATGGTCATAACCGACCGGTTACAGACTGTAGTTGTACTTTAAACCTGTGTGTTGCGCGCGTAATGCAGTTGATACAAGTATAGTCAGTAATTTACATCTTTGCGCTATTGAGCTTTTCTTATCACCTTAACTTTTTTGTTGATTGGTTTCTCGGCTCACAACACACGAGGTGCCTTTGTTTTTTAAGTATTATTTCAAAGTCGTTTACATGTAGCAAAATTAAACTCGAGAGTTTTCAAGCAAGTCAGTTGGGCATACAATATTATGAATAGCACCTGTCGTCAAGGGTGATTGACCAATAAAATCACAGATATCTCCATGTTTCAAATCTTGGATCAATTATAACTGAAGTTGTTTTGGTTGCAAGCAAATTAAATTAAATGGTACCAAGAACAAACGCTTTCAATCTGTAGTTCATTTTTGCTTTCATACAATTGTGAAATTCGCAAAAAATAATAATGATATGTTGAAAACATCAAAAGCTTGACAGCGAGTGCGTAAATAAAGTTTGCTTTTTCGAATATCTCTTCGGAAAAACGGACAGTAATAATAATTTACATGATTGCGTCGCACGGTCTTGATCATGTTTGCGCATAAAATCCTATTACATGTTTTTAAATAAATACCGCGAAAACGTTTCAAATGCCCACTCGCGCTAACAAAGAGTCTCAGAACTGGAGCTGTATAGTTTAATTTTACCTAACTGAAAATTATATTGGACAGAACCATAACAAAAGAAATTAAAACATGTTAAAAGAACAACTCTATGCTTTCTCTATAAAGCTGCACATCGTGTGTTTTCTCTATTGTATGATTTGGGGGAGCAGAGCCTAAACACGGAAGCTTAAATGGGAGACCTAAAGGCAAATGACTAATGATGGTGTAAAGAAGACAATAGAAAAAATAAAAAATTTTTATTGAAAACAGGCAAAAACAGCTTGCAGCTGCGTGTAGGGTAACTTAGCTTTTGAGTCCCACGCGCGAGGGGTTAAGAGCGAGTCCGGGAGCGTAGCGATAAGGCCGGAGGAGTCTTAATTTTCTCAGTCCCTATTCCTTCGTGAAACTCAAGTAACGATAAGTTATATCCATAACTTATATCTATAGAAATGAGATATTAGTTCTTGTCCGACTACGCTCTTTCTGGAATATAATTCATGAAAGGAATCAGAACAATTTTGTTAAGGTCAAAACGCGATTACAAACACAATTTTGTCTTGTTTAACGATGTTCAATGGAGACAAAGAGTGATTAAAAAACCCTGGGGCAGCCCTAGAAGATATTGAAACATAAGATAAATGTATCTCAACCTCAACATGGTTGTCTTATTGTTTTAAAATAAGTGGTCGAATCCTCGTAAGTGTAACTGATTATTTACACTTCAAATGATATTTGACATGTCTCCAATTTCGGGCAAAATTGCACTAGCCTCAAGCTATAGGCAAGTGCAATTTGAATTTTTTTCAAATATCACGGGTATAGTGTAAATCCTTAATTGCTCTAGCGTTCATGCGATTATTTATTTACCATATGATTGAGAAAATGACAAACACGCCCATATTAAAGTGCACCCGGCCAAAGGGAAAATAAAAAACCAACGATAACTTCGCCTGCTCTTAGCCCATTGTAAATAAATTTATGTAGCTAACGTGAGTCTTTACAGCTTTTATATCTGGTTACGTTTCCAAAACAATTTGTATTCTGTTTTTTCTAATCCATCGATAGTATTTATGTGATATCGATGGCACACAGTATGTGGTCATGTTAAACCTGCATGTAAATGTACTGTTGATCGATGCTGAGAGTTTGTTCTGCCATGTTTGAAAGGTGAGCAAAGCAATTAAATTGAGAAACTTGCATAACTACGCCAAATTAAATCGAGGCTCTTCTCTGAAATCGCTCAGTCAGTGCAATGTAACCAAATCACAAACCTTGTGCTGAAAACAAAACATGATTTTGACAGGCATGATGTTCCTTGTTTTTGAGTCAAGCCAGTTTAAATCTATACAGACCCGGAAGAGGAGAAAGGCATGTTTTCCACAATGGGAGCCTAAACATAGGAAGACTACCTTTTCAATACTAAAAAAGTGTACCAAACGTAATTTGAAATTTGTTTGAACAATTCATATGACATAGTTAGTAGCTTTCGAAAAGCGATGCTTCCTAGGTAAGCATACATTTTACAGGCATGCTTAATTTGAATTTTCTATTTCCTTTTTTTTAACTATGGTTTGGACCTTTGTTTCTGACATGTTCATCTTTGGATCGCTTTTAACTTGTCTGAGGTCATTGGGAAAAAGCAAAGTATCCTGAAAGCGGCGGATTCCAACGCCGTTTTGCTTCGTGTTTCTGCGCATTTCGATATAAAAACACCCAGCAATAAAAAATAGTTTCTGTTACCGATTTAAACTAAGGTTTGCAATCGGCATCAGTTTGAATGAGAAATTACAGGAACTACGCCATCTCCCAGAAAGGAAATTCCGCCCCTTCTTCCCCGCCCCCCCTCGTACTCACCTATCACAAAACAACTTTCCATCAAAAATTGCTAAACCCGCATCACATTAATTGAAATGTCACTTGCAAATCGCAAAACGACAAATAGAGCTTGTAAAGTTTGCATACATTTTCAAAATCTTGACATCTGCCATCACATACGTGCCTCGCTAAGTTAGCATGCATATATCTGCACTTATGCTGTTCAAACAGCGTTGATTATAGTTCACGCTCCTTCGATCTTTTCTTTATGCGTCTTGTTGAAGCCTCAATTTCAACGTCAATGCACTAATTGAAGTATTACTAAAAATCAGATATCTAATGTCTTGAGGGTTTTTTTTTTTTTTTTAGTTTTTCCTCAGCAAATTCTTAACAGCTCGTCGTATCTCGCCGATTCTCCAGCAGTACACAATTGGATTCAAGAACGAATTAATGAAACGACAGTTGTCACGTAGTCATAGGCGATTTTCACTGTTAATGTATATCCAGTTACTGTCTCCACAAACATCGTCGCACAAAACGGAAGATATAATATCACGAACAAACCGTAAACATATAGTACAGTCACGGCAGATTTTCTACATTTTAGAACGTTTACTGTGTTGCTTTGAACACTCTGCTTTTGCTGGCTTATCTGACGCTGATGTTTACGGACAATCTGAAATATTTTTAAGGTACTTATGGTTGTAACAACAAAACTTGCAACTACAACTACAACAGGAAAAACAATCCATGGGTGTATCCAAAATCTTAACATGACAACTGTCACAGACACGATACAGAACATAAAAACAGCTTGCAACATTCTTTGAGCAGTGACAATGGTGTTGTATCGTAGATGTAGGGTTAAAGCGAGAAGTCGATCAATTGAGACTCCGCTTAATGTTGCGAGCGAAACACCAGTGGTTATCCAACCAGATATGTTTTGAATCATTTTCAAAACGCAGTAGGCACTAAAGTTATCTGTAAGTTCCGCAATCTGATACGCCACAAAAAATGGCTGACAAATTAATCCAACGAGAAGGTCCGCGGCTGCGAGGCAAAATAAAAGGATAAAAGATGGCGAGTGAAGCTCTTGCGTTTTCCAGATGACACGTAAAATGATAAAATTTCCAGA